CTGACACTGGTCATATATATCAATATATGTGTATATATATATATATATATATATATAAAAAATATATATATATATATAAAATATATATATATATATATATAACATGTATATCAATGATAAAAAATCATTGAAACTGCCCACGCTTGAGAAATGCTCTCTTAAAAGCCATGTTTAGAGTTGTTGAGCTGTGAGATTTTCAGCTCCATGATTTTTAGCTTTGAGGTAAATATAGTTCTGGTTTTGAAGGCTGGGACGTATTCTTGGAAACAGAATATCCTCTTCAGAATTCATAAAAACAGAGCTAGAAAGAGGGAAGGGGAAGGACAATGGGAAGGAATATTTGCAGGCTGAAAGGGGGCTGCCAGAGGTTGGGAACCATGACTGAAGTGAGGAGATTTAGAGGAATGTGCAGGACCAGAGAAGGAGGACATGAACAAGTGGGAAGAGGGTAGGACACAAAAGAGACTGTGAAGAGCAGGAAAACTGAGAAGAGAAAGAACAAAGTAGGAATAGGAGACTGCCATCAGACATATGCAGAGCATAGAAAGAAAATACGAGCGAAGACTTCCAATCCTTCTTCTTCCATTTCCAGACTGGTCTAGCAGGGGGAGAGCTCAGGAGGGCAGGAATTTCTTGCTGGCTGTTACCTTGTTATTTCCTTTAGCATCTTATTATATTAGTCTATGTATGATAGACTCCATGTCTATCAACTGTCTTCTGGGTAATCTGTTTTCATATCTTTCAGGCATTACCAGTCATGTAAAAGTGCTACCAGTGCCTTCCTTTCTTCCACAGAAAAGCTGGCCTCTGTTTTTGTTCTCTTCCAGTCCCAGGGGACATCACACTGTGCCGGTGCAGTCAGAGACATCATGGCTTATGGTTCACAGATGTGCTTAAACTCCCTGATGTGAATTTCAAACCTGTCCACATCTGTTGTTTGTTTTTTTTTTTTTCCCTCCCCCGGTACTCCTGTTTCTGCTATAAAATTAATTTCATTAAGATCGTGATTAAAATTAACTTTTGTGAAGACTGAACCAAACAGCTCTGGGCACTTCAGTCTTTACCAGACTTTATGGTATTTGTTCCCCTTCCTGCTAATAGCCAACACTTTCCTTTTGTCCTTCTCTCATTTTTGATGCATTTACAAATACTTTTAGTTCTAATTCTGTGCTTCTTGATAGCATGAAAGCTATTGAAAGCTATGCTGCTGCCTTAGCCTTTCTATGGGGGTGTGTTGTTTCTTTACTCTTGTCCTCAGCCTTATGCCTATATTTCCTCCCTTTGTAAGCCTCCCGTTTGATTCTGAAACACTTGCAGACATCTTGATGCAACTGCAATGGTCTCTTGCTATGCTGTCTGCCTTTCCTCCATGTTAGGATTGTGCGACGTTTAATGACATCTCTTTCACTAAGCACCGGTGTCCTTGACTACTTTCTCCCTCCCAGTATTTTCATCAGAATCCCCAGGACCAGCTGAGTTTCTGGTGCTGCTCCTTCCTTTTTTTTTCAAGAAAGTTCATCGCATCTGTTCACAATCACCTCAATGCAATCCTGTCGTCTCGCATGGTCTCAGGCAGTTGCCCTACCCTCTGCCCCTCATTCAGAGTTGAATCTAAACCAACCTGGATGACAACATTACTTCCTCGCCTCCACAAATCCTTCCAATATTATCAGGTTTCTCTCTACTGTGATTTAATTGGATATCAGGATTGGTAAGGCACAGCCTGTCCCTAGTGACTAGGGGAATATAACTTGTGTTTCAGCTCCTTTGGTCATCTCGGTGTAATTCACAGTAATTATGTGGTGAGGTCTTGCCTTCATCTGTGATGCTAGGGGAATAGATGTGGCTAAAATATCATACTAAACACAGCCCAGTTTCTCACTGAAATACATGTGAGCTCAGGGAGCTCTCAGCTTTCACAGAATATTGCCCTTCAAGGTGCAGCCATTGTTTCCGTTGCCCTACAATATTTTTCTTTTTGCAGTTGCCTTTGCCAGCCATGCCTGGCAGCTCCCTCCTGCAGTCACCTTCCCTCTGGCTCCCTCTTAGGTGGGGGCATGTGCCAGGTCAGCCCTAAGTAGTCTGAGGTGGAGCTGCAGCAGCACATGTGTCTTTGAACTCCACAGTGCCTCTGATTCAGAGTTTCCTATCAGGTGGGTCCCACCTCAGGTCCCACGTCCCCGGTTGTTCTTCAGCCATCCCTCCATCTCAAACCTTTTGTTCACACTACTCCTTCCACTTCCTCCTGCAATGGACTGCGTATCTCCCCTGAAAAGATAGTTGTCCCTGTACCACACTGAGTTAATATTAAAGAAACTGTCCTGTCTCTCAAAAAGATTTCATGCAGACCTCTGAGGTGAAAGTGCAAAATCTTCCCTTGTTCCTTGGCTTATGCCCTCGGTCAGTGATTAGTGCATTGTCCTCTGATTTGGGCACTGCACATCGTGTTCCCATCTTCTTGCTGTTTGATGTCAGGATTGAGGAGCCTGTTTTTAGTGGGTCCAGCCAGCACAGGGAAAGCCTCTGAAGATCTGTAGGGCAATTGTTGCCATGAGTCATGCTGGTAAAAATAGTCCTCCACATTGGAGATGAGAACTACCATGATGCCCTCCCCAGTCCTGCCCTTGGGCTGGATCTGTGCGGCTTCCCAGTGACAAACGGAAGGGCTGGATGGTGACTTCTGTGCTTCCTGCCAGCCCTGACATGTTTCTGGACTCAGCATACAGAAGAGAAATGGTTTCAGTGGGTGAACTGAAGACACCTCCATTCACTGGTGCAGGCATGTCTGATGTGTGTGTCTGAGCAGTAATGAGAAGATAACAACGCGCAAACCTGCTCGAAAGAAAGCAATGTGGGTATGTGGTTCAGATAGTCTGTAAAGTGTGAATTCAGTTCCCAGCTATGGATTCATGCCCAATTTATCAGGGTTGCTATGAGAACAGACAGAGACGATGAAATTAAACTCCCTACAACTATTGTCTCAGATGGGTTTTAAATAAAAGAGCCTTGGTTTCTCAGAAGGTAGTATCTTGGCTGGCAAACCATTCCAGCTTTGTTTTTTATGTGAATGAACAGATGTCTCAGGGAATTGGGCTAAGCTTTGCCAAATTTCTCTTGAGACAGGGTAAGACTGTGAAACAGAGGAGTATTTTGTCAAAATTCATTGTCCTTGAAGGATTCAGAGTGACTTGTTGTAGGACAGGTATTGAATTTCATTATGTATTTGTTGTTGTAGAAATACAGCATCTAAGATGAAAAACTCAAAATTTTGCCAGCGTTAACATTTACTTTACTAAAAAACACACACACATTCTCAAAACTCACATTTGAGAGTATCCTTTGTGTCTAGAGAGCACTGATATATAGACCTATAGGTCAGACATTATAAACTTGGGTTTGTAATGCTGAATCCTACCGAACCTAGCGGCCCTGATATAAGGTAAATCAGCTGCATAAAATCACTGAGGTAGACATAGTAAACATGTAAGGCCTGATCAGGGGACCTCATGCAGATGCTTTTGCTCCCATGGGCATTGTGCTGTCTTGTCAGATCTTTCCTATTAACTTTAAAGCCCTTTGGTCAATTCAAAATAAATTTGACATAACAACGAAATCCTCGGTGCTATTTAGTTCTTCAGTGTTTCTAGGAAATCTGGACAGCACAGAGGAGACAGACTCACTGCACTGAGCAAAATAATGTGGCATGGAGTCATCAGTTCTTTGTATTACTTAGGTTGCTGGCTGGCTGGTCAGCACACAGAAAGCCTGAACCGCTTGTGTAGGGGTTGTCATAGGAGACAGGAGGGAAGTGGACGAAAGATTTGTGGGGGGCAACTGAGATGCAGGCCAGTAGGAGGGAAGAGGGAATGGGCTGAGGGTAACTCCGGGGATATGGGGAACTGAGACCCTGTACGTGGATGAAATGGAAGAGATAACCTAGAAGACTCCTAATGTTACTTTTTGTAGACTGGGATTTTGGACACTGAGAAATATGTTATATGGAGGAATGCTCATGGCCTGCACACAAGGGATCCTTGATGTCTGAGTCAAGAAGTTTGCATGGACTAAAGCAAAAGAGGTCTCCCAGAGGAAAACCTCATGGACTGGAGATAGATATGACAAGAGAACATAGTGGAGTTGAGAGTCCTAAAGAGCAAGAACACATATCCTTTCCACTGCTGATAATCTCCTCTTCACAAGAAGATTGAGGTCTTTTATATAAAAGAAAATACTAAACCACGGCTTGAATCTGCGTTCTCGAAACTTGAATTCCAGGTTCTGATTTCTGCTCTCTGGCACAAATATTTTGGTAGCATGTTATCTTTGATCAGTTTAATACTACACAGACTTAACTTTTAGTGCTTCTTCATTTGCTTGCTTTTTTTTACACACTGAATGGGAGCTCTGTTATGGGTTTTCAGTTTAACCTTTATGGCAACAATTTTGGTTTAATCTTTATGGCTACAAGATGACTCTTCAACTCTACTCCATTTACTGTTTACTGCATTCCTCTCTGTCAAGTTAGCATTTATGCATCTATTGGTTGCTTGGTTTTGTTTGTTTGTTTGTTTGTTTGTTTGTTTTACCTTAATCATTTTTCTCAGTTTTTTGACTCCTTAACTCCAAACAGGAATGGGCTTTCAGTGTACAGGCCACAGTCAGCAA